TTCCGTTTTTCACACACTTTCCGGTGAGCCCCAGGGCGGCGACAGAATCAGAGACCCAAATCCTGTTCTTTCCAAAAGAAGTTTTGTTGTTCCTCTCATTGTGCCGCGCGAAGACACTACTGCGCCTGGGCGATGGATTGCTGGTTCTGGCTGAGCACGTGGGGCAGCGCAGCACAGTTGAAAAAAAAACTAGGAACAGGCGTCCCACGTTCTTAATGACATTCTGTGGTAAGAGACAATGCATAATTTACAGTGCAGGGGTCCTTCAGATTCGTGCATTTCATTTGATGATTCGGTCGCTTCCCCACGCGAGTTGCTATCGCCCTGGCTCTCGCCTCCACGTGACCGAGAAAACGTGCGTTCCACGTCCACCTCTTTGGATCTCGGAGCGTGGTGGGAAACAGATGGCTTCAGCTGGGAAGCGGAAGGATCGACGGGGTCACCGGACATGAAGAGACTAGACTGCATGAAGAGCACTCCCTGGCGGACGTCGTGTAACGGCCTGGCTCCCTTCGTCGGCCAGGGCGGCGCGCTGGGTGCCTGCGATACACCACCGGTGACGCCGCCGCAGGGATGGGAGGCATGCGCAGACGGCGCTCGACGGGTGGGTGGAAGGCCTTCCAAAGACGTTGGGGGCCTTGGAAAGGGATTTGATACTGGGAGGTGGTTTTAGACTACTTTGTATCTCTATATCGTAGATGATGCAGCTTCAGATCGTTCAATCCGAAAGCTGGCACCCTGAAGTTCCAAATCGTTATACTCGCTTGAGAGTATTCCGGCACAATCCCCAAAAAGGATCCCAAAGGTATTTTATTATACGGATCCCCATCTACAAGAGTTCTGCGGGCTTGTGCCATCTACTCATGTAGAGACACCCCATGGTCCCACCAAACTCCAGAACTTCCTCATGTCCTCCAGGCCGAAGGCTGGGTCGTGGCCCATCCAGCGGGACCCTGTGACTCCGGCCGTTGGCCGGGAGGCATAGCGAAACAGGAGAGAGATCTACAGATTCGGATGCACAGCGAAGTGGAAGTCAAGGGTCAAGGGATACCTTCTAAATGTGAGTCCCCGAAGACACCAAAAGACCATTCTGGTGACAATTCGGGTCTTCGTTGTCTTAGGTGGACTTCGTAGCAATATGATGCAAGTTGTCCAGGTTGACTATGTTGTTTTCTCAATTGTCAATTGGGGAGGTAGGTAATATCTTTTACATGGGGTGAGGCATGGTTTCACTCATAACTATGATCAAAGGTATGCAGCACTCGTAACTGGCAAGTGAAGGCATTCCGGTATCACTCCCAGGGTGGCAGATGGCTTCAAAGACTTCGCAGAAGCAGAACTATTTTGGGCTATTGGAACTTCTCAACATGCTGAGCTCAAACACATTTGTTCAGAAAATACCGCGTCAACACCGTTCAATTTCTGGCAGACCGGGTCGGACCGTCTCTCAGGCAGTACTCCTCTGACCTGAATCGCTCCAGCAGCCGCTGGGGCTCGCAATCGACCGGGCTAGGCTGCCGTAGGCGTCTCTGGAGCTGCATCTTCACGGAAGGCTGTCGGATTTTGCTTTGAGACATTTCGTACCTCAAGGCTCAAGGTCCAAAGATATTGGATGGAGAAATGGACCAAGCCAGTGGTTGAACTATACAGTATGCTTTGATAAATGAGTTCCTGAAGACCCTACAAACAGGTGGTCACCCATTTGGCGGGCATGAAGCTGTGGATCGAAAGCTGTGGAATAGGGTTGGTTGGTTGGTTGGTTGGTTGGTTGGACATGTTCCAACCGAACTAACCAGACCAAATTATTGTCACATTCTTGAAGTGTTCCTTTAAAAAAGAGAAGCTGTTGAAGGCCAGTTGTGCATTCTCAAATTCTCGGTGAGACGGTTGGGCTGTTGGTGACTGTTTCTTCCAGAGATCTCCAGAGCCAAATCCGAAGCAGCAGCAGAAGTCCCTGATTTGTAAAGCAAATCCACACATGATCCAAGAAGGAGTGATTGAGTGAGTGATCGAGTGTTCGTCCTTGTGGAATTCGGGAGGTCATCGCAGGGGAACTTCAGACCTATAACATGACTAGTTGCCGCATCTCATGGGCTTTGTGTAACGAAATCCTGGTGCACATATAAAGCCGCAAAGCCAAGGAGATGGAATTCCGCTCTCGCTTGACTCAGGAGCATGTGATGGCCCATGAAATGTTCTGTGTGTGTGCCCCTTTGATCTCCAAGAAGTTCATTTGCGCCTCCACCGATTCTTTTCCTAGAATGTTTAAACAGAGGCATGATGAGCGCTCGTGCCGTGAGTTCAGCTGAGCACCAGGTGAAACGCACTTGGCGAGCCGAAGCCGGACGGACGGGATGGTTCCGAAGGGTGGAGGTGAAAACGTATAGCTTCCAAGAGCACCAATTTCGCGGCAGATGGCACCAGAATTCAGCAGCTCAACTATATGCTCCTAATCCATTGGCAACGTGTAGCTTTTTGTCTCATCGGGCCATCGGGTATTTGCCTTGCCTGCTTTGATTGGACGAGAGCTAGCCCACCAAAACATGCGCAACCATGTGACGTCGAAGAACTCGCCCGCAACCCAGACCCAGCACTTTTTAAGCGTGTTGGGCTTCATGTTCCACCCAGACATGCTGGGATTATCCTGAGACAGGCTAACCCTGGCTGAACCATCGCTCACCAACTTTGCCAAGCTTTTGCCAGTTCAGTCGGAGTGCTGACATGCGCTGACCTCTCACAGGAGAGGGTCCTGGCAATCGGAGATGGTTGGGTGTGCTGTAGTGAATGATTCGTCAATAACTGTAGTGTTTGGGTGGTTCAAGCCTGATTTAGCCAGATGGCACATTCATTGGCAGTGATGCGTGCGTCTCACCCACTGTTGATGTAGAGGACCTTGGACAACACTGAAAACAAAAGACGTTCATTTAAGTTCAACAATTAAAAAGTACACTCACTACTCAGATCTCTAGATCCACCCTTGCTGTGGTGCAGCTTATGCAATGGATTTCACGGTATGTCCACTGCTTTGGTTTGCCGTCCGCTTGCTCATGCAAACACATGCACCAAGGGATCATGCTGGGTAGGTGTGGAACGGTTGACTGGAGGTGGTCGGATGTATGCGGGTTCCGAAGGCCTTGTGCTGGCGCCTTTTGATGTTCCAGTTTTCTCATATTTGCCCAGATGAGAACGTTTTCCGAAAAACTCCGATTCCATCTCAGGGTTCACATCGCCATGCGTTGTCAGATGTATTACCAGCCCACTTTCTCCGAAGAGCTTTGCGCTCCAGTTGCTCCCCACCGCTTCGTCTTGCAATGCGTTGAAAGTGGGGTGATCCAACTTCAAATTTGGCGCACTCGGCACGCATCCATTACACTGCAAACATTTGCAATATATAATCAAACTATATCAAACTATGTTCATAGTATTGTAGGAAGTGGGACTGCAAGAGTAAACCGACGCTGTGAGGTGGATGCAGTTTGTTTTGTGCTGGATGTTTGCGCTTTAAGCTTGTCGCAGGCTCTCTTGTGCCGAGCTGAAGCTTCCGAATACATTTGGCAGGATCGAACGTAATGTGGCATATGTTGTCTTCAATTGATTCTTGACTTGGGTGATGCGCTTGGTACAGTACAGCAAGTTACAGCAAGCTTGAGCCAGATGTTTTGAGCATGTTTGAGCCGGCTCCCAGCAACGGTACTAGCGCGGCCTGGCCACTCGCCCACTCGCTGGCGCTTCTTCCGCCACATCGCTCAGAGAGCGTTTCGGCAGACCGAGAAGCAGCAAACAAAAAAGGGGACGTCCGGGATATGGGAGGGCATCCTAGATAGGTCCACTGGTATGGGTACGGTATAGATAGCATGAAGATCTCTGAAGGAAGGTTGGCGGAGGTTTAGAAGTTTAGAAGTGTTTAGATTGGTGGAGGACTGGAGGACCCTACAGGGGTGTAGCGGCTTTGCTTGCTGTTCAAGTGGCCAGCGTTCCTTTGGAAGCGACGTCCTCTCCCACTCTCCGTTCTCCTCGCAGCTTGGCTCCACATCACGGGACACGACTTCCCGCGAAGATGTGGGCCTGTGGCATCTACTGCCAGGCGTTCCTCCGGGCCTTGACGGGGCAACTCATGGTTCTTTAGGACAGGGCCGTAGGCAGAAGTGGAGGCCATCGCTACTAGTTACTACTAGTAGCAAGCTACTAGGTTGGAGGCCATCGCTATAACCAGGGCACTGTTATGTTTTTACCTTTCGCTCGCAGCAAGCAAGGTGGAGCCGGGCGAAGGTCATTTCAGCCCGATGTAGCTGTCACTTATGGCACCTCCTAGATGTGGCCGCCTTGGCAGGTAAAGATTGAAGAACTAAGCGTTGGTGTCAGTTGGAGGTGTACTACCTGCTCCTTCTACCCCCTATAATATTATTGTAACCTTTCAATGTGGGCCAGCTTCTGAACGTGGTTGGTTTCAGTCGAAAAATCAAATGAATTCAAATGAAGTCCCCGAACAACCAAGCATTGCTTGACACGCGACGGCAAGCAAGCATTGAATCATTCGTCCATCCTGTGTCCATCCTGTAGCCCGACCCACAAGCAATATGACTTGACCATGCAAACCGTTTCAGCCCAACTACAAGCTCAAGTCCAGTACTTGCCCCACAGAATATGATGATTCTGCGGAAGGTCAACGCCCTCCTACGAACAGGAGAGAGGATGTTTCACCCACCCAGGTGCAGCAACCTGAACCTTTGATTTTCAGATCTACTGGGTGCAATCGGCCTATACCATGCAATCCGTGCACACGCGCACACACATAGACATATAGACATCATCAGACACTAGACAGACATAAGATTTGGTCCCTAAACATAATATAGACATGCTTTGGTACATGTTACATGCACTGTACAAGCTAGATTCGTCCATTAATCTATCCCAGACCTCATTATATAGTTGTGCTCCCTGTTTCCTTTGGCCTTCGGCCGCGCAAGTCACAGGTGGAGCTCCTCAATGCGCTCACCATGCTGCCACCGCTCTTCAGCACGGCGGCCGCTTGCTACGCGGTGCGTGGCAAGGCTGCGGGGGTTATCCCGTGTTCAACCTTGGAACCTGGGATGATTCATCGCCATGAGTGACCAATATTCGTTCAGGTGGGTTGAACATGGTCGAAAGCTACACATTACCTACTTCCAGGGCCGTAGCAGCTATCGTTTGTGCGTAGGTGTCTTCAAATTCTTGAGACACCTGTACTCATGCAGCTTGAAACTCATCACTGTTACCCAAAATAGACTCCATGCCCATGGCGCATCATCACGCCCATCCGTCAGACGTTGCATCGCCGGATGCCAGGGCTGGTGGCGCTCGTCGTCGGCTTTGGCGTTGATCGCCGGGTGGTTCCTGATGATCCCCTTCAGTACGGCCTCGCATCTCCATTGTGCCTTCCAAGGGCATTACTCGCATATCTTGATTCGCTTGGATCAAACAGGCCCTGTCGTGCCGGGCGTTGGGTCCGGTCCTTCGGTCGGGCGTGCGGTGCGTATCATGGCGGGGACAGACTTCAGACTGGAGACCACACTCTTGAACCAGCATCAGATCAGCGTTGAGACACACTGAACTCTGGTCAGATTAGGGGTCGCCTGCATGTGGCATGACCGAGAATTCACGCCTGATTGCCGAAACACCACGCATTTCATGACGAACCAACAACTATATCAGCAAAACATCGCCAAACAAATCAACACGCCGGAATGGCTGTTAGTCCCTAAGTGAGTGGATAATGGGTACCCCTATCCTCCGATAGCCTACTGGTGTGCATCACCAACATTGACCAACACACACACAGATATATATTCTGTATATATATATATCTACAAATACAAGAGAGAGAGAGAGAGTCAAGAGATGTTCAGAGAGCATTTTCGTCAACTCTCTCTCCCCCATCTCCCAAAACCTGTTTCACCCCCGAGTCACCCCTTCAGAAAAATCAAACTCCCTCCTACGGCCCCGCGCCACGAAAAGACATTCCGCCCAATTCCATGCCAAATTGCCTCCTTCCGCCCAAAATCGCGGGCGGGGTGGCGAAAAGAAAGGGGGCCCAATCGCAGGCATCTCGGTGGCCTGCGTGCTGGCGGCCTGGGCGATGTCCAAGTCCACCCGCTTCACCGCCATCACTGCCATGGCCACCGCGGCGGAAGGAAGTTGTGAATGGTGCGGACGTGATCGGAGATGTGTTGTTTGTTTTTAAGTTAAAGGGGGGTGAAGTGAGCCTCAAATGACCATGATGGTATGCGGTCACAATGTCATTGTCATTCTCCGAATGGACAGCGCAAGACAATCCCAAGTGGTATTTTCGCAACTCGGCTCTCAAATCACAGGCAAGAGTTGGAGTCCTTGCAGAGCTCCAGCAATGCAGATTTGCTGCATGTTACTATCACGTTTGGGTGCATTTTGCTTCCAATTCTGACCTCCTACGAGATCAATACATATCAATATTGGATCGTATTGGTATTGTGAGAAGTTCTCAAAATACATTTTGGTAGGGACCACTATGTAGTTCAACATTGCTTCTCCTACAGGATGTCCTACAAGATGCCTCCGCCTCCAGAAAATTTATCACGGAACCAGTCTCCCATTGCTTGGGAACCAGTCTCCCTGCCGGCATCCGAGGCGAGCTTCAGCGGCACGAACGCAAGAAGCGGCAGGTGTCGATGAGGGTTTTGCCTGGCCTCAAGAAGGAGGGTTTCCGGGTTTGAGGTGGTATGTGGTGGTGTTCTTTCTGTTGCCAAACCCTATGTCAATGTCATACCCTGCAAGTGCTGCAATCGGGCTTGTAACTGAAACATTTTTCTCAGGGTTGTAGCGGCAGTGACACGATCACCCGGTGACACCCACGCTGAATGGGTTGCTTCGGATCCCTGGATTGCCTCGCCTTTTTCTGCGGCACATGTTGGCCGGTGCCAAGCCATGCATTCGACTCGTACTGCTGGCCCAAGCCAGCTGACATAACTTTGACTTGGTACTTGTGACACCTTTTGGTGCTTTTGTGACCCATTCATGTCTTGGATGCCAAGCAAGACATGCCCAAGGTATGGACCTCATCATGTGGCTGGGTCCGGCAGACCTACGAGTGCACGTGGCCTGGCGCTGCCTGACCTTGGCAGGTGCCTGACCAGGGGTGGACGTTCGTAGGTCGACTCTCCTGGTGGGAATGGAGGGGATGAGACTCATGATGAGACGAGTGACTAGTCGATGTTTTTACTGTTTGGTCCTTAGTTGAGTCAACGTCATGACGTCCATGCAACAAAGAGCAAATGATAGTACAGTTACATATTCATTGCATTATTGCCACAATTGGCAAGGGTCACTCTTGCCATCATCATCATCATCATCATCATCAGCAACAATGTATTCTACTGAGTTGCAACATGCCACTGCCATGATGTGTTCAGGAGGGGGTTGCAGTGACCCATGGGCATGGCATGATACTATAGCACTAGCTCAATTCAAAATCAAATAACTCGGCGAGATTTCCGGCACTAAACCACAATAAAGTGCAACTCTTTCCTTTTTCGTTATTATTTTATGTATTTATTCCTTGCTTGCTTGCTTTGTTGCTGTTTTTTCTTAATTTATTTTAACTTTTGTTTGTGTGTTGTTTGTTGTTGTTCTTTTCTCTTGTTTGTTCTTGTCTTGTCTTTTCTCTTCTCTTCTTTTCGTGTCTTTTCCGTTCGTTTTACAACTTTCATGTCTTGACATGTTGGATAGGCCCCCTGTGTGAGGTCCTGGTGGCCAGGACCCACCAAACAGCTCCACTCACTCCCACAGTGGTTTTGGGACATACCAATCAAACACACCACACTCTTGGCACAAATTTTACAAAATTCAGCCAGGAAGTTTGACCGGGGTATATATGTCGTGTTGTTTTTCCCTACCAGGGCCGTCAAGATCGTATGCGGAGAGGCAACCAACACCAATCTCGGATTGGCTTTGACCGCGACCTGCGTGCGCAGGTATTGTGCTGGCTTACTTGAGCCCGATGTTTTGGATGAGGGACTCTTATGATGAAAGCACTTGGCCCAAGAGCGTCGGGCAAGTTTGGGACTCGTTGACATGAGCGGGGGAACATGATGAGAAAGAAGTAATAATATGACCACAATCCATCCCATTCAATGTGGTCATATTTGTGCATGCGTTTAGATTTGACAATGACAACAGAACAGGGACTCCAAATTATGCCATGGGATCAGGATGGATCAGGTTTGGGGGGTAGGTTTGTTCACAAATCGGCTGTGATTGCATGGAGGTCCGCTTTCTGGCGATTCTGGAGTCTCTTGATGGTCCATCCTTATCCTTATCCAAATGGTTGTATGGAAATTGAAGGTGCCACGAAAACTAGCATTTGCCACCATTTTCTACAGGCTCTTCCTGAAACGCACCGAAGGCAGAACAAGAGCACCTAGTCACCTGACCTGCTTGCCGGTTCAGCTGTGGGAGGTGAAAGCTTCATTTTTGTATTTGTGCAATTCGCTTCCTCCAAGAGCTCACCTACCTCACATCACTCTCGTTTTGTGAAGCGTGTTATTTTTCTCCATGCCTGAGGTATAACTCCCATCGGCTTGTGCTTCATCGCCGGCTTTTGCATGGCGATCCAGGCGCCCCTGGGGCCCTACAGCCATCCGCTCTTCCATTTGTGCCTTGGAAGGAAGTCGTTGTGAGATTGAGATCAAAAAGATTCGCTCTAGTTGGCCCAGGTGTCCGACTAACTAGTGGGTGAAGACACATAGCTATGGCGACATATGGCGACGTCCTTCTTTGATGCTTTTCCATTTGCATTTTTCAAGCTAAAGTTTGCCGAGCTCAGAGGTTTGATGTGTTTCTGGGAGGGTTTCGCCGAGCGATGGTCGATTTGCATGGACACAGGACATACGGACATACGGATTTGGAAGAGTTCTTTTGTCCAATGACCGATGGATCTGTTTACTTACAGCCAGTCTCGTTGATTCCGTATAGCCGGTCTCAGTTCAGCAGATGGGGTTTTGGATTCCATTCGCCCAGGTTGTTGATTCCGTATAGCTACTATGTGCACCTTGGCTTAGCTTGTTGTTGTTTTTTTTTTTATGCGTCAAGCCTCAACACGTCGTTGAGGCAAGCAGACAGCCTTTTGCGTGTGGTATTCGAGGTAAAAACAATGAAAAACATCGAGTGGGTTGGTGTTAGATTAAAAAAGCTTTCATATGGTAATGCCAGAATCCGTGATTTAAACAAAAAAAGTCAAAAACAAGGCAGCCACTTGAAAAAGTAAAAAAATAAACTTCAAAAAAGTCAAAAAAGTCGAACACACATACAAAGAAAAGGTCGAAAAAAGAAAAAGTCGGATCTGGGCAAATTGACTTTTTTGACTTTCTGAAATTTTCTGATTTGATGTGTTTTTGACTTTGATTTTTTTTGACTTTTTTAAATTTAGAAAACAGGCTCTTTCCAATGAAAGTTTTTTTTTTTTTTTTTAATAATGTTAGATATATTGGACCTACATGATGGCTCAACAAAATTGGTGCGGGTGCGCCCAAGAAACTCATTTTTTGTTCGGACATGATGGACCAAAACCGAGCGGGTTGGGTGATGTTGGGTTTCAAACATGGGGCACTGCCATATGGGTGTGTATTTTGATAGGGGGACCTCCCAGTTCGACTCCCTGGAAGAAGGAAAATAGACCAAAACTCATTGGGCCAGGGTGTCTCCCTATGAAAAGGCACACCCATATTCCACGAAAGGCTTTGATGTATCAACCTCTATATAGGGGTCGTTTCAGCCTCACATGGTCAAATCGGTATGTCCTGTGGATGGTTTGGCTGCAACATGCTGCAACTTTTTGTTTCCAGAGCTGCGGATGTGTTTGGACTGTTTGGATGAATGATTGATGTAAACTCATTGTAGGCTCTTGATTCATAAGCCACGCCCCATTCGACTCTTGAGGTTGTTCAATTCAAAAGGGGGGTGTTATTCGGCTTTAGGTCACCAACCCAACATCTCTCCACGACCTTTCGAGACGCGATGCTGCGATGCTGAAAAACCGTGCCCAGGTCGAGGTCGGCGATGGTTTTCGAGCTGCTCCTGGAATCACGAGCTGGAGCTGACCGTGAATGGACCATTGAGGCCTCGGACCAGACTCTTGGGACCTTGGACCGGTTTCCTCGGCCGGCTCGGGTGAGGAACGCCCTTTCAGACGGAGAGTGTGTTTTCTTTTTGAAAAACATTGAAAAACCATGGGCATGAACATGATGTTCTTGGTAGATGCATCATTTCCTATCAATTGTTCTAGTGTCTGAGACAGCAGGTTACCCGCTCGACGTTGGACCCCAGTCTTGAAGCCCTGACCGTTGTCCAAGCAGTCTGACTGTGAAAGGGAAGAGAGCTAGAATGGTCTCAACAGGGAAACATGTCCTTGGCCCAAGTGTAGGTGGAGACAGCATAAGGTGTCTCTTAGACCAACCAGTTGATTGGATTTTCAGGGGCAGATGTTCGTGTCGAATTCTAGTATATATATTCCAGTTTTTCCACAGTTCTCTTTGGCATGCACCATGCATCTACTGCCGATGCCTGGGTTTTCTCCAGGA